TTCCCAGCATCCCATATGGTCCCCCAAGCACCGCCAGGAGTGATTCCTGACCACAGAGCCAGGAGTAACGCCTGAGCATTGCAGGGTGTGACCCAAAAAGCAAAAAAAAAAATTGACTCTTTTTCTTTCTTTCCCTAGTTCTTTTCTTTCCCTCCCTCCTTTCTTTCTTTCTTTCTTTCTTTCTTTCTTTCTTTCTTTCTTTCTCTCTCTCTTTCTTTCTTTCCTTCCTTCTTTCTTTTTTTGTTTTTGGATAGCATATGAACTCAGATCAGCCAGGAACATTGTGCTGTCCATTGACTCATTTCGCTCTCCAGAGGATTGCTTCCCTTGTTAGTGAGTGGCTCCCTGTGAGAGTCTCTGTGTGTCAAGTGCTCCTTTCTGTTCTGGCTCCTTTTAGGGAGAGGAAAGTCTTTCCTAGTTATTTTGAGCTCAACTTTTCCAAAACATTTATTATAAAGCAAGTCGAACTTCTGGGAAATTCCATTCCAGTCCATGATTTTAAATGTCTTTATGTGATGACATCTGTGTCCCAAAAGGCTGTCTTTTAATGTAAGAATTCCCATTTCTAACAACTAAATTTTCGGATCCATGCTTTCAGCGAGTATGGATGGAAGGAATACTTGCCAAGTCCAGTGATCTGATTATAAGATCCCGATTTTCATTCATTTGTGAAAGAATCAACACACTGATAGAAATTGTGAATTCCCAAGAAACCATCAGCACCACCAAGGCAACATCTAGCTCCAAAGATGACCTCACCTCTACTCATAAACTCCAGCACAAATAAACAGGAAACTGAGCTTCCGGCACTCTGCTCACTTCCAAAGAGCACCCCTCATCCCCCCCCCACCTCTCTCACCACTTTAAAGTGGAAAGGAAACTTAGCGATTGTAAGGAGAAACGTGAACATGAAAAGCAAGGGTGGGAGAAGCATGCTGAAAGTAGACTCTAGACCAAACATGACTGCCACTCAATGCCTCTCTTGCAAAACACAGGACCCAAAAGAAGAGAGAGAGAACAAAAGGGAATACCCTGCCACAGAGGCAGGGTGGGATGGGGAGGATGGGGGGTGGGAGGGATGCTGGGACCCGTGGTGGTGGAGGATGGGCGCTGGTGGAGGGATGGGTAGTTGATCATTGTATAACTGAAACCCAAGCATAAAAATTTGTAAGTCTATAGCTGTACCTCATGGTGTTTCACTAATAAAAAAATTAAAAAATTTTAAAAAGTAACTATAAAATGAGCACCGGCGCTCAATGCTTTAGAATGCTTTCTAAGCGTGTGACTTCCATTGTTTGACTACAATAGAACTCTTCACCCTGTGCCTTGCTACCTTCAGAACACAACATATTTATGAATGCATATAAGATAAATTGTGTCAAATGTAAATATCTATATATGACACACTAGGCTATTCCTTTTCTGTTAGTTTTATAAATTTTTATAAAGTCATTTTATAAAATGATTCCCTAACCTGACAGGATCGGCTGAGTAGATGGCAAATTGCAGTTTAAGAAAATGATGCTCTGGTGTTTGATGTTGGCCAACAACTTATCCAGAAAATAACCCCAAATGGATTTTCTACTCAGATCTTTGGTGTGCAGAGACACTACCTTTGCAGTGTTCTTTTGGGGAATCTCCTACAATTTTGCCTCAATGATGGTCTAGAGGTAGACAAGGACACTGTTTCATCAGAAAATCAGAGTCCGACTTTTCCTATGGAGTTTTTCATACCGTTCTAGATTCTGAACATTTCACCACACCCTGAAACACTCCTTATGGCGAAGTCTTTATTAATAACTGCCAAGAAATGTATCCAGCTTGGACTTGGATTCAGATGCTATCTGTTGAAGCTTTTGTCCCAGGAAAGTCTCACAAGCTGATGGAAAACAAGGATAGATTAAGTTCCTTTGGGAAATTCAGACTATGAAATATAGCACAGCTGTGGAAAAGAATGACAACCTGTGTGATGAGGGCCAATATTTCAGCGATAGTCTTATGTTAAAAAGACTAAGATCAGGACATTGTATATAGGAAGATTCCCTGAGATTTTCATTTGCTTGTTTTGCTTTTATTTTTATTTGGGGGAGGTTACTGCCGACTTGAAATTTAGGGGTCACTCCAGAGGGTACAAAGCATGTGCTTCAGTCCTTTGAGTCATCTGCCCAGCCTCCATAGGTGATTTTAATAGTGGAATTCTATGTGTATATATGTATATAACATCTTTATGAAAAAATTTACAAAATATAAGTAATATGAATTAGGAAAAGATAAATGTCTAGGAAGGCTATACCTAGGAGAGATAGAGAATTGAGAGTCTGGACTGATGAAAATTTAAAATTTTGCTTTCTTTGCCATAAGGTTTGAATTTTTAATTTTATGTATTTATACAGATCACATTTTTAATTTCAAATAGCTAAGTTTTTCAATCATGATGGGGAGACTTGAAAAGTCGTTAGGATGATGGGGATTTTCCTTGCAAAAGTCATATAAATATCTGTTTATTATCACAACAAAATTCATTTTCTTTCATTTACAGATCTTATACTGTTTACAAGGAATTTCACAACCATCAACTGAGTTTGTACTCACAATAAACATTGAAAATAAGTAAGACAGGTATAAAAAATCCCACTTTATAAATTTTTGCAAAGCCTGAAGACTAAAGGAGTTAGGGGCCGGAGCAATAGCACAGTGGGTAGGGCGTTTGCCTTGCACGTGGCCGACCTGGGTTTGATCCCCGGCATCCCATATGGTCCCCCCAAGCACCACCAGGCGTAATTCCTGAGTGCAGAGCCAGGAGTGACCCCTGAACATCGCTGGGTGTGACCCAAAAAGGCAAAAAAAAGACTAAAGGAGTTAGAAAATCTATAACTTAAAGAAAGAAAGATGGAATCAAATATGAAATTCAAACTGTTACGAGCTGCCAAATGGTTTACAAACTGTGTTTGTAGGCTGCTCCTCAGTGGGTGCTCAGGGTTGGTTCCCATGTGGTCCTGACGATTGAACCCCAGGACCCAGCATGCAAACCCTGAACTCCAGTACCTTGCGCCCTCACTCTTAATGCACTATTATTTTTAAAACTTTCACAAGTATCTCTAGGGAGATTGGCAGCTAAGAAACTTGCCCAGAGGAGAAAGGATGCAGGAGGAAATCCTACTGAAACTGGAGAGAGTAGGGCTGGGTGAATGCTAACAGGAAGGAGCATGCATTCATAAGTTCACTGCATGTATTTTTGCCTTCAATCGGAACAAAACTAAATTTCCTGAGTGGAAAAAGGGAAACAGCAAAACATCACTAACTAAACCCTGAAAAGTAACTCACATGTTTCTGGCTAGAGTTGCCATATCTCCCAGCTCTCCTGGACTGCCTATCCCTGCACAAGCATTCACAATGCCCTTTTCATTCACAAGCGATTCCTAGTTTGGAGGATAAATAATGATCTCATTTTATTCACTACCACTCTTTAATTTCACATGCCTTTATGGTGCTCCTGTTTTAGGGCATGGCCTTTGTTTCAAACTAATTATCCAAATTCATGCAAAAGATGAACAATCTATACTCAGATTTTAATTATATATTTGCATTTTTCCAATGCATTACTTGCCATTAACTTTGGGCTTTATTACAAACGTTAAAGGTGGGAAGAGTGCTGAAATGGAAAGTTCTAGCATGTTTAGGTTTAGAAGGGAAATGTGGACCAAGTTTGACTCGATGAGCCTGAGATGACGACCACTGATTTCATTTAACAGAATTCTGGACATAAGAATTCCCAGAGTGGGCTGGAGCGATAGCACAGCAGAGAGGGCTTTTGCCTTGCACGTAGCAGACCCAGGTTCAATCCCCAGCATCCCATATGGTCCCCCGAGCACCGCCAGGAGTAATTCCTGAGTGCAGAGCCAGGAGTAACCCCTGTGCATCGCCGGGTGTGACCCAAAAAAACAAAACAAAACACAAAAAGAATTCCCAGAGTGATATCTGCCCACCCCAACCATTCATTCGATCTGCATTTCTTGTTTAGTGCTATTGAAGAGTGAGTAGGCAAGACACTGTTCTAAGCACCAAATTCATTTTTATACGTAGTAACTTTCACAGTTATATATATATATTTTTTATTTCCAGTGGTTTTCAAGATGCAGATGTTGATCCTCTGAATTCTTTGCTGAAAAACACTCTAAAATTTTCCATAATTTGTCATTATTCTAGTCAATAATTACAAACATTATTTTCGCGGTCCAAGTAGGTTAAAAAGTTGCTGCTTTTTTTTTCATCTTGTTCATTGCATGGATTTCTTCCTTAGAACAAGCAAATCAATCAGAAGCCAAGTTGACTATGGTAATAGCATCTTTTACTTAGCAGTAAGCAGACCCTCTCTCCAGAATACATAACTCCTGAGGAATTAAGGCAATACCACACCCTGCTCATAAAATGTATTTGCTTGCTACTCTCTGTAGCACCCAGCAGTTAAATTGAAGTTAACAGATAATAGTTGATTAGTTGAGGTTTCTGGGTTAAAAACTAAAGAATATTTTCATTTTTTTTCTTTTCTTTTTCTGTTTTTGGACCACACCTAGAGGTTATCCAGGATTTCTGCTGATTCTATGCTCAGGGGTCACTCCTGGCAGTGCTCTAGGGACTGTTCGTGGTGCCTAGGATAGAACCAGATTGGCTGTGTGCAAGGAAAGTGCCTTGCCTACTGTCCGATCTCTCTGCATCCAAGAATATTTTAATTTTCCATTTTATGTTTAAATTTACACTCTTGACAAAACATTTCAGAAGGTATAGTTCAGGGTGAATATACCTTAAGCCCTCCAATTCTCTCTCACACAGAGTTGGGTCTTGTTTTTAAATCCAACAGTATGGTTTCCTCTCAGTTTGTGAATGTTTAAGTACGTCTCCTATTTATTTCTCCCTTTGCTCTGCTTTCCTGGAAATACTCATCTCCTATCAACTGCTCAAATAAACGTTTCAGAAAAGGAAACTTGTGGGATATTTTGGTTTTAATCATCACTGGTTGAATGATTACTATCACTGCCTTCACTGATACTGTCACTGCTGTCATTTTTATTGTGGTGCTTCTTACTAGACTTGCTTTTCCTGTGATTGTCACCTCTGTTGTCAGATGCACTGTCGCTGCTTTTTTTATCGTCACCGTTGTCACCATCGCTGCTGTCACTGCTATCACTGCTGTTGTTGCTGTCACTGCTGTCGCTGCTGTCACTGCTATCACTGCTGTCACTGCTGTCACTGTCACTGCTGTCACTGCTATCACTGCTGTCACTGCTGTCACTGTCACTGCTGTCACTGCTATCACTGCTGTCACTGCTGTCACTACTGTCACTGCTATCACTGCTGTCACTGCTGTCACTGCTGTCGCTACTGTCACTACTGTCGCTGCTGTCATTGCTGTCACTGCTGTCACTACTGTCACTGCTGTCACTGCTGTCGCTGCTGTCACTGCTGTCACTGCTGTCACTGTCACTGCTGTCACTGCTATCACTGCTGTCACTGCTGTCGCTGCTGTCACTACTGTCGCTGCTGTCACTGCTGTCACTGCTATCACTGCTGTCACTACTGTCGCTGCTGTCACTACTGTCGCTGCTGTCACTGCTGTCACTGCTGTCACTGCTATCACTGCTGTCACTGCTGTCACTACTGTCACTGCTGTCACTGCTGTCACTGCTATCACTGCTGTCACTGCTGTCACTACTGTCGCTGCTGTCACTACTGTCACTGCTATCACTGCTGTTACTGCTGTCACTGCTGTCACTACTGTCACTGCTGTCACTACTGTCGCTGCTGTCACTGCTGTCACTGCTACTGTCGCTGCTGTCACTGCTGTCACTATCACTATTACTACTATCTGATTTGCTATCACTGCTGTTACTACTGTCTGATTTGCTGTCACTATCACTGCTGTCACTGCTGCTACTACTGTCACTGCTGTCACTGCTACTGTCGCTGCTGTCACTGCTACTGTCACTACTGTCACTACTGTCGCTGCTGTCACTGCTACTGTCGCTGCTGTCACTGCTACTGTCACTACTGTCACTACTGTCGCTGCTGTCACTGCTGTCACTACTGTCACTGCTGTCACTACTGTCACTGCTATCACTGCTACTGTCGTTGCTGTCGCTGCTGTCACTACTGTCGCTGCTGTCACTGCTATCACTGCTACTGTCACTGCTGTCACTACTGTCACTGCTGTCACTACTGTCACTGCTGTCACTGCTACTGTCACTGCTATCGCTGCTGTCACTACTGTCACTGCTGTCACTACTGTCACTGCTACTATCGCTGCTGTCACTGCTGTCACTACTGTCACTGCTACTGTCGCTGCTGTCACTGCTGTCACTACTGTCACTGCTGTCACTGCTACTGTCGCTGCTGTCACTGCTGTCACTACTGTCACTGCTGTCACTGCTACTGTCGCTGCTGCTGTCGCTGCTGTCTGATTTTTCCGTGCTACTGTCTGACTTGCTGTTGTCCTCACTCTCGCTGTCCCCATGGCCCCCACTGTCACTCTCGCTAGCGTCCGAAGTGCTTTCACTGTCATCGTCCTCTCCTCCTGTGGAATCCCCGTCATCCCCGTCATCACTTGAATCCTGGGAGCTGTAAGAGACATCTCCTTGGCTATTGCTATCGCTGTCACCTTCGGAATTGGCATTGTCCTGGCCGTTAGACTCGTCACTGCTATTGGGGTCATCTCCTTGCATGGACTCATCATCGAATTCATAGCTGTCATAACCACCACTATGACTGCCACTACCTGTTCTGCTGGGTCCAAACGTGTTTCCAGGCTCTGCTTTCTGGCCACGTCCCACATTGACGTTGACTTCTTGTGTCTTGACGTTTCCTTTGCTCGTGATCACTCCAGGTTGTCCTTTAGTCTCTTTGTCTTCGTTGACTTTCCCAAGTACTTTGGTAGTATTGTTTCTGTTTCCATTGCTAGGACCTTTGGTTTCTATTTCCTGTGGGAAAATGGGGTGGGGGGAGAAAGATTAATTTGTGAATTTTACACAAGATTGTGTTGGTCTGAGGAAAACTCACCAAAGAAAGTGACCAGATAAACAGTTTAGCTTCCATTGCCTCAAAAATACGTTTAGGCAAGGAGTGGTGCTTCTAAAAACCTTCATGTATTTGCCAAATAGGAAATTTTATAATCAGTTATATGATGCATAGATCAATTTACTTAAGCTTTTTCAAAGATTGCGATCAAATTTTCTGAAACGTCTAAAATTTTTCTATATTGGGGCTGGAGCGATAGTACAGCGGGTAGGGTGATTGTCTTGCCTGCTTGCCTTGCATGCGGCCAACCCAGGTTCAATTCCCAGCATCCTATATAGTCCCCTGAGCACCACCAGGAGTAATTGCCGAGTGCAGAGCCAGGAGTAACTCCTGTGCATCACCGGGTGTGACCCCCTCACCAAAAAAAACAAAAAGCAAAAAACAACAAAACAATAAACAATAATTTTTTTCTATATTGGAGTCTAGTAGGGACTCTCATTTTATCATTAAATTTCCAGAGAATTTAGGTGCAGACATGCACTGGATGTTTGTTTTGTACTAATGTGAGAGGCAGGAGAAAGGGAAGAAAAAAATGCCAATTGTCATTGAAAGCAATAAGCTTCACAGACTAACCTTAGCTTGACTCTTGCCAGTAATAACATTTGTCTCTAGTTGTTGACTGACTGCATTTCCCACACCTTTGTTTTCTCTGTTACTGGGTTTGGGGTTGTCCTCCATCCGCTGGTTACCCTTGTCTTGTGGTATATTAGCGTCATTCTCTTCACTCTTGGAAGTGTTATCTCCATCACTTGCATGGGGTTCTCCTTGGCCTTTGGGGCCATCGTCTTCACTACTTATTGACTCTTGACCCAGGCTATTCTCATTGTCTTCTTTCCCCTGCCCCGGACTCTTCTCAGCACCCTCTTTCCCATTCTCTGTGTCATCACTTTCATCGTCACCAGAGCCTTTGTCTTCATCTTCATCTTCTCCATTCCCACTGGGATTCCCTTCAGAATCATCCAGACCCGGATCTTGCCTGTCACCGGTTCCACTGACCCCTGGTGTTACCCCTGTCCCCTCATTCTCATTGATCCCAGCCTCTGTCTGAGCTGTGGTTTCACTTGCATTTCCCTCATTCCCACAGGTCGTCCCCAGTGTTTCGTCTTCCAGGATTGTACCGTTATTGCTTTCAATCACTTGCTGTCTGTCCTCATGAACAACAGCAGGGTTGTCCCCACGCTGATGGGCAACTGCAGCAGACGTGTTCTTTGAATTGTCCTCAGTGTTTCCGATAATACCACTCCCATTTGTTGCTCCGGAAGTGTCAGTGATGATCACTCGTCCCCGGATGCCATTCGCTGCGGCATTAGTTTCTTGTCCATGGATCTCATCATATCCATATGCTGCTGATTTTCCCGTGGTCCCATTCTGATCCTCAGTATTGTCCACTTCATTTGCAAATGTGAAATGGGAAGAACTTTTCTCTCCTACAGTGGCCCACTCAGAGCCATTTCTCTCTCCTTTGTGATGGTCTTTAACATGAGACCGACTTTCTCCCTGATTTTCATGCAAAGGGGCACCATTTTCTTTGGTGTTGTTGTCAGCATTTAACTCATTCTGCAAAGGAAAGCAATAAAAATGGGTTTCATCCTGATGCAAAGCAAACTGAAAATAAAAGCACCCATCTGTAGCTTATAAAGAAACAAAAGAAGGGAAAGGAAGAGATGGAATTTAATAAGAGCCTACGCTTGGACTTGGAATTCAGAAGTGAGACTATCAAGTTTGGTGGGGGAAGGTGAAGAAGAGGAAGGTCAGATTAAACAGTGACAGTAGGACAAAAAAAAGGGACTTAGTCACATTGGAAGGGGTGGAGGGATAGTAACTTTGTATACCATAAGCATGAATGGTATAACCACTAGTATAACCATGTCATCTCAACTACAAAAGAAAGAAAATATGAGCATTATTTTTCATAAGTTAATGAAATCTAAAAATGGCTTAGAAACATTTTATATTGTATACCTGTATTGGCACTTTTGATTTTGCCGGAAGATTTACATTCATAGATTGGTCAACAGCATGTCTCTCCAGTGGCTTGAGCTGAGGAACCTGCCAAAATAGAAGCCATTGGAATTGTACATATTCTCAATATGCACATGCATATACATATACATTTTCCCTGGGGTAGAAAAGAGAAGTGTTTGTGTTTGCTGCAGGACTCATGTGGAATTTGAACTAAGTATACAATTATTTCCAACACTATTTTAATAACACTATTATCAATTTATTGAATTATTAACCAGACCACTCACCCACAATGAAAGAGAAATATGTTATTCAGACAAGGTATAAGACTGAATAAGACTTTTAATAGTGTAACATCAACCCTAAATATAGTCCTGACACAATTCTCAAGAAAACAATAGATATAAATAAAACTAGTGCATAAGAAAAATCAAGTATCATACTACTGTGTTTGTTAGGAGCATGTTTGAAAGAGCACTGTAGCACTGTCCTCCCATTGTTCATCGATTTGCTTGAGCAGGCACCAGTAACGTCTCCACTGTGAGATTTGTTACTGTTTTTGGCATATTGAATATGTCACGGGTAGCTTGCCAGGCTTTGCCCTGCGGGGGGCGGGGGGGGAGGGGATATTCTTGGTAGCTTGCAGGGCTGTCCGAGAAGGACGGAGGAATCGAACATGGGTGTACTGTGTGCAAGGTAAACACCCCACCCACTGTACTATCGCTCCAGCCCATGTTTAAAATAGAAAAGAAAGTTTTCACCAAATAGATACCAATGTATGTTATTTTATTTATTTATTTATTTATTTATTTTGCTTTTTGGGCGACACCCAGCGATGCACAGGGGTTACTCCTGGCTTTGCACTCAGGAATTACCTCTGGCGGTGCTCAGGGGACCATATGGGATTCTGGGAATCGAACCCGGGCCAGCCGCATGCAAGGCAAATGCCCTACCCGCTGTGCTATCGCTCCAGCCCAATGTATGTTATTTTAAAATAAAAAATCTGCAGGAGTGGTTTCCAAGCAAGGAGATGGCAGTTAACTCAGCACTGTAGATTCATTTCAAAGAAGCAAAAATAAATAAAGTAATAATCCCTACAAAACTTGAGTTTGGATTGTAGAAAAGAAGTTTGAATATGAAGTATATATTTGATTTTGTTGAGAATACAAAGATATTTTATCAGTCCTTCAAGTGAATATAACTGTTTAGACTCAGCTATGTATAAAGTCTTAAGCATATGTATTTACATATATATAAATTATTATGGGTCTGTATTTTTTAATGCTGGGTCCAAGAGAAAGCCAAGATAGGAGGAAATTGTACTTACTGGAATTGCCCATGCAGCCACACAAATGCAAACATACACAATGATCTTCATTTTCTTTAAGAATGTTCATCAATGGCTATAAAAAAGAATAGCATAAAATTATTAAAATCCCCAAAATTCTAACCACAGTAGTATATTTTTCAGTTTATAAGAATTAACTTTTTTTCCTGGTCAGGAAGTATGTCAACAATGTGCGAAATGGGATGCTGAGATTTCATGTTTCAAAACATCCGAGGCACCATCATGGTGATATGCAGAGACTTTAAAAGTAAAGGCCCTCCCGTTGATCATCGATTTGCTCGAGCGGGCCCAGTAACGTCTCCATTGGAGACTTTGTTGTTACTGTGTCTGGCATATCGAATACTCTTGGTAGCTTGCCGGGCTCTCCGAGAGGGGCGGAGGAATCGAACTCGGGTCAGCCATGTATCAGACATTATAGTTTCCTATCATTAGCAAACCCACCTGGATTTTTCTTGCCCATGCCAAGGAAGGGGGACCACCATGATGGTATAAAAGATAAACTCATGGGACTGTAGAGAGTCTTGGTCCTACCCTCAGTACCTCATGATTTTCAAAAAAAGCCACAGGAAGTACCCCAGTCACAAGCCCAGAGTAGCCCGAGACCACCACTAAGTGTGGTCCATCCCCTCCCCCAAGTAGCACTGTAGCACTGTTCTCCCATTATTCATCGATTTGATTGAACATGCACCAGTAACGTCTCACAACAAATCGTGAGACTTGTTGTTACTGTTTTTGGCATTGAATACTTCGTGGGTAGCTTTCCAGGCTTTGCCATGTGGGCGAGATACTCTCGGTAGCTTGCCAGGCTCTCCGAGAGGGGTGGAGGAATAGAACCCTGGTCAACCATGTCGGCCATGTGCAAGGCAAATGCCTTACCCATTGTGCCATCGCTCCCTCCCCCAAGTAAAATAAAATAAATCAAAGGTATAGTCACAACTTTACCCTGATGTTCTTGGTGGGAATGACATCACTTTTAGATAGATTCTTTGAAGAATAACTAATTCTGCTCAGATTGGGATTAGAAAATGAAGTACTTATTATCTACCCAATTCCTTACACTACATCTATACCAGACAGTAAGAGTAAGGAATTATTAATATGAAAAATCTTAAGCTAATGAAAAGAAGAGGAACTTTGAATTTGGAGACCTGGATTCGACATTTACCTCTGCTACTAGGTGTATAAGCTTTGTGAATAACCTTGCTCCATCTGGAAAAACCTACATTCCAGGATTCTCTTAGTTACCACAGCAGAAGAATCTGCTCTAAGACCTTCTCTGAAGCTGTCTCATAGGATGTTGGGTGTCTCCATCCCTTTGACCACTCAGGAGCATCTACACTGCAATGTCGTAAGGCAGCCTGCGCTCTTCCTTCCTCCCCTTGCCAGCCCTGCTGTGTGCGCCAAAGACCAACAAAAAAAAAAAGAAAGTATCTTGGTGAGTGCTGTATTCCAGGCATAGCACAAAAAATGGCTCCTTTGTTTCCTTTTTTTTTTTTTTTTTGGTTTGGCTTGTGCCTGACTCTATGCTCATGGATCACTCCTGGCTAGGCTCGGGTACCATATATGGTGCCACGGATTGAACCCCAGTTAGCTGCATGAAAGGCAAGCACCCTGTCACTGTCACTGTCACTGTCCTCCTGTTGTTCATCGATTTGCTCAAGTGGGCCCAGTAACATCTCCATTGTGACACTTGTTACTGTGTTTAGCATATCGAATACATAACGGGGAGCTTGCCAGGTTTTGCCATGCAGGTGAGATACTCTCGGTAGCTTGTTGGGCTCTCCAAGAGGGGTGGAGGAATCTAACCTGGGTAGGCCAGGTCGGCCACATGTAAGGCAAATGCTCTACCTGCTGTGCTATCGCTTCAACTGTTGTGATATCATTACTTCTCTGGAGAAAAATACACTTGAGGGACAGAGTGATAGTACAGTGTGTAGCGTGACTGCCTTGCACATGGCCAACCTGGGTTGGCCAAATGGTCAAATCCCCAGCACCCCAAATGGTCCTCTAAGCAATGCCAGGAGTGATACTTGAGCATAGAAGCAAGAATAAGCCCTGAACACCACCATTCTTAAATAAATTTTAAGAATGTTTTTGTTGTATAAATACTTGTTAGAATAAACAATACCTCGCACTGCTCCAAATACTTAGCAATCTCCACACACATGAGAGCAATTTCTATATTAGACTTGTGAAAAATATAACCCTTTTTTTTTTAGAATTCAGAGAGGCCAGATACATGCTTGATATTTTGTAGTAGACAACATAAACTTATAATTAGAATTTCTATTTATTTTAAAACTGGCTTTTTAATGTAAAGATATAATTACATTAGAAAGGAAATTTTACTTCCATTTCATGAATGCCCAGTGGATTTATAGATTGAGCGATAGCACAGCGGGTAGGGCGTTCGCCTTACAAGCGGCCAACATGGCCGACCCGAGTTCGATTCCTCCGCCCCTCTCGGAGAGCCCGGCAAGCTACCGAGAGTATTCGATATGCCAGACACAGTAACAACAAAGTCTCCAATGGAGACGTTACTGGGCCCGCTCGAGCAAATCGACGATCAACGGGAGGGCCTTTACCTTTACCTTTATTACTCCATTGAATAAAATGGACTTGACTGAATTGAATGCCAATAGAGGAAACATACTATAATATTTGTAAATATCAACTGTCATGGTATTGCCATTTTCTGCTAATCAAAATAATGAAATATCATCTTACAACTAGGAGAATGGCAAATATCAAAAACTAGTGTCTGCAAGGATGCAGTCTAAAAGAAGCCCTCATTAACTGTTGGTGAAAGTGTTATTTGGCTCAACTTCTATAGAAAATAGTATAGAATTCTCAAAAGTTTAAGAAAAGAATTTCCGCTTTACACAGTGATTCCACTTCTTGGCATCTATGCCCAAGATACAAAAATATTCATTGAAACACCCACATCCATTGCAGTGCTTAGAAAAATAACCAGCATGTGGAAACATCCAAAACGCTCGGCAGACTGATAAGGACAGGGCATATACACAATGGAATACTATGCAGATCTAAATAATGAAGTTGTGCAGTTTTCTGAAATGTGGGTGATGCCTGACTCTATGCTCAGGGATCACTCCTGGCGAGGTTCGGGTACCGTATATGGTGCCATGGATGAAGTTGAAAGGTACTAAAGAAAATAAGGCACATGGAGAAGGACATACTCGATGTATGCCTTTAATACAGTATTAAAGAGAAGCAGTTGACCAAGGATTAAAAAAAAACTGATAACCAAGAAGGGAGTTATTGGTGGGAAATGAAGCTCAGATTGCTCAAATTAAAGATGACATAGAGACAATGGGGACACTTTGGTGGGGGTTGGGGTACAGCAACTTCGCACTTTAATACCATAAACTCTATTGTTATTGTAACCATGTTGTCTAAACTATAATAAAATTTAATTACAATCAATATGAAACCAGTTTCTTGAAGTATTTTTTTTGCTTTTTTTGGGGGGTCACACCCGGCAATGCACCGGGGTTCCTCCTGGCTCTGCACTCAGGAATTACCACTGGCGGTGCTCGGGGGACCATATGGGATGCTGGGAATCGAACCCAGGTCGGCCATGTGCAAGGCAGACACCCTATCTGCTGTGCTATTGCTCCAGCTCCAGTGTTTTTCAATTCCGTTTAGTTTACCATGTATTATGCCCTTTTTAAAATTTTACTGAATTAAAGAAATGGAGAGAATTTAAAGCTATGGAAATTCTCCATGTGAATATTTATCTTGATCCTTTTCTCCTACTAAAAGTAAATCAATAAGTAAATGGAAACTTCCAGAGGGAGAAAGTTGAAAAGATCTCTGGGCAATTCCTTCTCAGGAAGACAATTTGTTTTAAACTGCTAAGAACATGAAGAAGTATAATTGCTCAGCAGAAAGTGAAATAGATCAACCTTCATCAAAATTGCTATCAATGGCTGAAGACGTAGCACAGTGAGTAGCGCACTTGCCTTACAAGTGGCTGATCAAATTTTTATCCCTGACACCCCATATGTTCCCCCAAGCACAGCCAGGAGTGATCCCTGAGCACAGAGCCAGGAGACCTGATTATCACGAGACATGGACTCCCATTTTTTAAAATTTCTAATAATTAAAACAGGACTTAGACTGAATATGACACAGGACTCTAGGGTATAAGGTGGGTGACCTGCAGCTCTATGGAAAGAAGTTATATTGTACTTACAGCCCCAGAGCTAATTATCACCTAAACTCTGCGGATAAAGTGTGTCCACTGAGATTGGAAGGTGTTCTAGAGAGGCCATGAAGGTCAGGGTTCTGATGCACATCCCTTTCTCAGTTGAAATTCAGCAGTTTGACCTCTATAATACCCTGATCCACTGCGGAAAAGCTGTACGACACACAAGGGTGCTTGTTATTGTTTGACAAATAAGGTACAGAGTTGGACCGACCGTTAAGAAATGGCCTCAATATTTTTTGAGGCAGAGACTTCAAAATGGTGCAAAACCTCTTTAGATGATTTCATTACTTGCCACCGATGAAATAAGATTTAGCAATTATGTAGTTGATTTGGGCAAGTGGTCAAGAAAACAATAAGAAGCAGAGTAAAAAAACATAGTTTGAAAGCTCAGGCTGAATTTCTATAATCTGGATTATCTAAATTTCTAAATAAAAATTAATTAAAGCAACTTAATAGGGGTTGCAAGGTTAGGCCCAGGGGATGAGTTCATGTTCTGTGAATAGAAGGTCCAGGTTTGATCCCTGGCATCACCTGGTCCATGTGAGAGAGAGCCCTGAGCACTGTGCTGGGAGGAACCCCTGAGCACTGTTGAGTGTGGTCAAACCCTCCTCTAGCCAAAAAAGCAAGCAGATAATTATTAATAGTACACCTACGTTTGCCTATTTCTTAGTAAGACATTGTTCTTTTCCCATAACTATAATCTGCTTTTGTAAAAAAAAATAGGATGGCATAAGTGAGACTCTAAACACACCACATACATGTGTTTTAGCCTAGCTTCTGACAGACTCAAGTCAAT